CGGCACTTGAGGGTAGAACAAACTGGGGCGAGGAGTGATGCCACAGCGGCTGAACAGAAAATTGGTCAAGGGGATTGCCTTCACTTGTCACTGATAAGTTGTAACTTAGTGCTTACGATAGCACCTCTCACTGACGATATCGACTACGGTACTGGCGAAGCGCTTGGGAATGTATCCAGCCAATTGTCCAATTCTGGAAATCACTAATACTATGGCAAATGACTTGGGACTAGGTACGTTCCACAAGGTTTCCCTTACGCTCTGATCAAGTTGAGTAAGCAAGGTCGAATAAACACTAAGTAATTCTTAGTCAATCCTGCGTCTGAAAACATTATATCTCATATCTATTCTCCGCTCTGTGTTCAGCCACTTTTGGCCGTTCGATCCAGCTACCTTGACAATCATTTGTATGCCACCCTAATCTTTGGTGGATGGGCGGATAAGTCTCGCCAATATGGGGTCGATTATCGTACCACACAATCTTGTAGCAGCCGGATCTTGATAATGGGTCATAATTCTCTCTAAAAGAAGGCATGCCTGAAGGAGGTTCTTCGAAAACTATTTTTAGTCCGCACTTCCTCACTGGACCCACACCCATATCTTCTTAGAAAGAAGGTATGAATGCAGGATTAAGACACGTGAAAGGGTCTCCATTTGCCTATCTCTGACAAAATAGTCCCCATCTGAAAATTTATTTCTCATTACAGAGCTATTATTATCAATTAAGCCTAAAGGATAATTACCTTTCTGGTTTGGAATAAATGTTTCCATCAGCAGGCCTCGTGCTTCTATTGCTCATAGATTTTATATTTCTGACTAGTTTTTTTAACTCTGGTTAGAATAAAGGCTGAAAATAAAACCAGGATATGCTGGTTTCATATGAACATCTCTGCCTCACTCAATCATAACCATAACATCCAAAAATGCTAATTTTCTATTCTTCGTTTATAACTAGTGTTTTGAGACTATCAGTAAATCAGTTATATGAGAAGTATTCTGACCTGTGACCCATGTGCACTCATGGTAATGTGGCGTAGTGGCTAACGCGTTGAGATTATACGCTGCACTATCATGATTCGAGTCCCGCTATTGGTATTGATAAGACCTAGGCGAAGTCGAGATCGCTGTTCACTCTGAATATGAGCACCTTTTGGGAAAGCAAGGCTATGCGAAATTCCCTGGAAACGTCATCTCTACTCATATAATATAGGGAAAATTCATCTTCCACTCCTTCATCACCTTAGACGAAATAGGGTGTATATATCTCATATATTCTCCTAATCTGTTTTATTTCTATTGTGGACTTTAACTTTATTTCACGCTGGTCAACGTAATGTAAGAAATTGTCTAACCTGTTTTTCCCATTATGCCAAATTACAAAATAGTCACCCATATAACTGATAAACAATTAAAAACTAACAATTAGCTCTTGTATTAAGCGCTTTTCAAACTTTTCCATGTAGTTATCTGCCAAAATTAGAGCTAATCAAGAACCCATTCCAAGCCCTTGCGTCTTTTCATAAAATATTCCATCCAAGGTGAAGTACTAATCATGAATAGCTTACGAGGTCTTAGTATCTAAGCTAAAGTTAACTTGATTTCCTCCATAATCTCTGAATGCTCCTTCAAGGTGGGCATTAGCGCTCGAACGGTCCCCTGAACTCGAATATTTTGATATATAGACATCACATATTTACTTATTTCTATGTCTTCTTTGTAACTGCTCTGGTCCACTAATTTAACGCGTTCATAGCTGTTTTTAACCGAATATAACCCAAATTCATTCACTTTTTTAATTGTCTGCTTAAAAAACGTGAGATTTAATGCATATTACTAGCCTTATTGTTTACAACTATTCAAAGGGAAAGTCCCTCCTATTGCTCCCTTGGAAGGCAATAATTCGAGGATGTTCTAGCGTCTTTTTGTAGTGGGGACTTAATTTTAAACTACTCCATTTCCCCTCTCCTTAAGATTACCTTAAGAGCATCTTCCAACCTGGTCTTAAATCCCTCTTTAGGATCTTTCATTAAAGGATTATAATTATCAATGTCACATAATTGCACTAGCATCTTCTCTAAATAACTTGACCTATTTTCCTTCTTTTTCCGTAGTTTTAGAGACAGCTCTTATAACCTCGCCCATCTATGCCTACCACTGCTTCGCCTTTATTGACTTTACAACACTTAAGTTATTATGACGTAAATACATAGTTACTTTACATGTTTAAAGCGAAAAATCACCTCCAACTCTATACTCTTTATGTCTTCTTCAAATAATCTATCCGATAAGCCAATTAACTCTGACAGAATGCGAACTTTCATGCGTGCTAAAAGTCTCCACACCATGCTATCTCACGAAATTTATTGAAATCCGCTTTTTCTTCGTATATGCAAACTCTAAGTAACATTGATGTTACTTATCAGTATTATTTGCTATAATGCATATCAAAATAATTCCTTAAGGTCTTTTTCTATCTTATATTCGTTGTTTCTTCAAAAATATATTTAAGGTTCTTTTATGCCCCCCAACAAAGATTTCGATCTTTCTACTTCTGCATATATTATATCTAGAATTATTTTGTTTCTTATAATTTCTAGATTCATCTCCCTGAAGGCACAAAAGTCGATCGCAGTCCTTTGTGCGAAATCGTCAACTTCCCGATACCTGAGAAGCCACCAGACGATCTTATAAAAACACCTTTAATCCGTGTGAAAGACCTGGATACTGTAAGTCGCATATTTCTGTATGAATTATTCTATGGCGCTTTATTCTCAAGACAGAAGTATCTTCATTCGAATTCTTTTACATAAACTTGATGTCATCTTGCGAAAATTATCGGAGCGGGATCTGGCAAAGGTGGCAAAAATTACCATGGGACTGTGTACAAGAACTAGTATTTAGGTTATTTGTATCTTTCAAATCCCATTAAATTTCTCGGCACTCTTGAATTGCTGGGATTATTTTCATTGATTATAACTGGTTTCAGATTTTGAAAAGAAGCCTTATGGCTTAGAAACTAGTTATAAGCTTGTGTGTTTGGAATACCCAGTAAATGAACATAATAGTAGTTGTTAGATTAAAATTAATTTTGCAAATATTCGTTAAAAATATCTGTTTATTAATAAACCTTATAAAATAAGCATGGGTGCCATAAATTATTATGCAAGAACTTGACACCTCTAGTGGGTTGGATATAATGGCACTCTCAGATGCACGAAATAAATCCTTCATATTTTTGAGTGAAAAATGCTGGTCAGTCCTAAAATGAGAAGCAAAATTTATATTACAAATTCTAACGCTGCTGCTTAACGAGCTTAATAGCAATGGCTATAAAAAGAGAGACCACACATCTAAAGTAGTCGTGCACAGATGTGGATTATGTACAGTAGCCCGTGCTAGCATGATACGCTGAAAGTTTTATGCAAAGAGATTTCCTTTGTTGCTTCAAGCTATGTTACCCTCGATTACACCTATTTTCTCTTCCTGTGAAGACTGTATATGTCACCCTGTAGCAACGAAAACCTGTATTTTATATTCAGCATGCATTTTATTGTCTGTATGATAGCTGCCTTTCGTTTACCATTATCTATTTTATCTTTTAAAGCTAAACTTTGAACTTAGGTCATTATCTATGTATTTTTCGCATTTTAAGTATTGTTTCGAGACTACCAGTAAATCAGTAATATGAGGTGTATTCACCCAATTTCGTTTAAGGTCTCGAAACAATACTTAAAATACGAAATATAAAGTAACATAGTTGATTGTTATAGCAAATATACGTTTGCTTCATCGACAATCCCACTTAAGAATATGATATGACAAAAGGCCTGGCCTTCCTTGAAAGTCACATTTGCCCTGTAACCCAAGGGCACTCGTGGCAATGTGGTTGAGTGGTTAACGTATCAAGCTCCCATTCTGCACTGTGACGGTTCGACTTCAGCTGGGGGTGTTGATAAGACCGATGCGAGGTCGAAAACTTGCAGTCCACTCCAGCTGGGATGAGAACAACTTTTGGGAAAGCAAGGCTATGTGAAATTCAATGGAAACGCCAGCTCTACTCACATCATTGTGGGAAAATTATTTTACCAGTCCTTCATCACTTTAAGCGAAATTGGGTGAATACATCTTTATGCGTTTATTTGAATTCGGCGAAATTTTTTGCAAGTCTTGAGGTCGGTTTTATCGTTTAAGTAAACTTTTTCTTGTTCAGGTTGGTCAGCTTCTGTTTGATGGAATTAAAAAATTGAATCTGGTTCAGTCAGTCGTCTTTGAGACGGCCTACAATACCTCCGAAAATATGCTATTGGCTGCTCCTACAGGCTCAGGCAAGACAAATGTGGCGCTCCTCGCAATTGGCCAACTTATCCGACAGAATATGCTATCTGAGGGAGTGGTTAATGTCAAAGACTTTAAGGTAGGTCTGACCGTGTCCTTAATTTGTTCCTCTCTCATTTCAAATTCCTAAAAACCTAGTGTTGTGTACATTAGTTTATCTGTATCAAGACAGCTTAACTGCAGTGATCTTTTTTAATCTCTCCAAGATCATCTTCCATTCTGATAACAATTTCACTCGATTGATGTGTCCTCTTACTTACCCATACACTAACTTCGCCTTAGCAATATATAAACTGATAAATCGTATTCTTTTGAAAAACGGAAAACCTGAGGTGCTTATAAATATAAGCCAGGTCTCACTGTCAGATAAGTGTTACATTAAGTTTTTTGGGGAAGCTGAATTTAGATTCAAGGGTGATGAATGTAGTTAAATTGCTTACTAACCATTTCTCCTCTTTACATAATAGTTTTAATTAAAATAAAAGGTCTTGTAAATTTGTCTTATAATAGGATATTGGAAAGTGGTCTGTTTGAGAACCACTTTAACTACCATCTTTGATATCATATCACTATCTTTGTTAAAAGGTACTGCGTAGATACGAAGAGTAGCTGAGTTTCGATTAATCTCATGAGATAGCATTGTTGGGGAGACCTTTCAAGAAGAGATTCTTTGATTGATCTCATCAAAAGACGACGGCCGAATTCCGTTGTACTGTGACCGTTCAGGTTGACGTAGTTCACGATAAATCCTCCGTCGTTTCGGAAGAAAACGGGCTGAGCTTTCGTCCATCATGTGATGGACATCATCAGAGCTTGAACTCATTATTATAAAGGTATCACGTTAACACTTGAGAAAGAAGATTATCCGGCTCTATTTTACCTATAATATCTACTCTTAACCAAAAAACGGAAATGAGCAGACATATATAAAGAAATAGGATGGTTTGGTTAATTATTTTTCATACTGTTTCTGCTACTTCTGCTCGAGTGTGTGTGTATGTGTTAATGTCTATACTCTATGCCGGTCCTAAATCAGAGTGCTCATAAAAAGTTAATGTCAGGCTCTGGTCATCAAGGCCTAATGACCCAAGAGAAAGCCCTGACCGAGATTGCCTAAATCCGTAAGCAAGTATGGTTGAGCTGATGAGGCGCAAGCTTCTACGCGTATAATTCAAGTTACGAAACTACTTATCCTAACCTCTCAGTCTAGGGTCATTAAAGCTTAACTACCCAAGCAGAGGCATTATTAGGGCTACGTAATCTGGCACGTCTGGTTTGGTTGATGAGCTTAATCTAACATGTTGGACGAGTTTGCGTAAAGTTAGAACCATCACTGAGCAGACAAGTTGAGTCGACTTCTTTTGGATGGCGGCTCAACACCCTCTCTCTTCTTCAATCTATCAATTAAGCATAAATAGTTCTTACTTAACTTTATACCACCGTTCTTCACATTCAACGTATTTCATAAGCTATCAAATTAGTGAGGAAGGGGGGATAAAAACAATATTTAAAGACGCCCTCGCACTTTCTTCGGTTATCCCATCATTTAGAGAGAAATATGACCCATTATCGAAGTTGGCTGCTACCAGATTGTGTGCTCCTGTGGTCGGCCTTATGTTGGTTAGACATGCAGGCCCATTCAACAAAGACTAGGGGAGCACAAGAATGAACCCAGCTACTTTTACAAGCATTTTTGTGTAGATCATATTTCTCTCTAAATGATGGTGTTACCGAAGAAAGTTCGAAGGTTTCTTTAAATACTGTTTTTATTCACCACTTTCTCACTAGTTTTATCTTTTTTTTAAATAAGGCATGACGGCAAAATTAAAGCATGAGTTAAGGTCTCCTTCTGTATATCGTTGGCTAAATAGTTCCCGTCTAAAAACGTATCCCTCAGTATTGAGATATTATTAACATTTAGGCCCAGTGGATAATAATTTTCTAAGATTAAATGTTTCAGCCTTTCCAACTCTTTAGTCGAATGTTGGCTATCCGCTAGTCTCATAATTCTAATAATTATTGCTTTCAAAATTTTAACCTTAGTTTTGTGACTATGGTTGAAAAGATAATTAAGACAAGAGCCAATGGCTTCCTATAAACATCTCTTTCTAACTTATCTTTTCTCTAATAATCAGAACATCCAAAAAAGTTAACGACGGTCCAAAGCCTGAAATTAGCCTTTTTAAGCACTCTGATTTAGGACTGGTATTGCGTATAGACGTTAACACAACACACGCACACACACACACTCGAGCAAAAGTAGCAGGAAAAATATGAAATATAATTAACTAAACCATCCTATATATTATATATATATGTCTGTTCATTTTCGTTTTGGGCTATGAGTATATATAAGAGATATAATAAAGTCTGATAGTCTTCTTGGCAAAGTGTTAACATGAGACTTACAAGAATGAGTTCCAGCTTTGATGATGTCCATCATATGATGAGCGAAAGCTCGGCCTGTTTTCACCCGAAGTGACGGAGGATGTTGTGGACTGTGTCAACCTGAACGTCTTAGTAAGGCCAAACGGCCGCAGTACAACGGTATTCAGTCGTCGTCTTCTGGTGATATCAACCTATTTATTTTTCTTCATGCACTTTCATACGAAATGAAGGCCTCCCCAACAAAAGGCCCCTTGTTTTAATTTGGTAAAAAACCTTTTATTACGGTAG